AAGGATGGTAAAGGATTGGTAGTGTGTGAGTATCGGGTGAGGGGTAGTAAAGTCCTGGTAGTTTGTTAGTGCTGAGTAAGGGGGTGGTAGTCCTGGTAGTGTGTCAGTACTGGGTGAGAGGTAGTAAAATCCTGGTAGTGTGTCAGTACTAGGTGAGGGTTGGTAAAGTCCTGGTAGTGTGTTAGTTCTGGGTGAGGGGTGGTAAAGTCCTGGTAGTGTTAGTTCTGGGTGAGGTGGTAAAGGTCCTGGTAGTGTGTCAGTACTGGGTGAGGGGTGGTAAGTGCCTGATAGTGTGTCATTACTGGGTGAGGGTGGTAAGTCTGATAGTGTGTCTGGGTGAACGGATAGTAGTCCTGTAGTGTGTGAGTATCGGGTGAGGGGTGTAAGTCCTGATAGTGTGTCAGTTCTGGGTGAGGGGTGGTAGTCCTGATAGTGTGTCAGTTCTGGGTGATGGGGTGGTAGTCCTGATAGTGTGTCAGTTCTAGGTGAGGGTTGGTAAGTCCTGTAGTGTGTTTCTGGGTGAAGGGTAGTAGCCCTGGATAGTGTGTAATTCTGGGTGATGGGGTGGTAAGTCCTGATAGTATGTCGGTTCTGGGTGAGGGGTGGTAGTCCTGTAGTGTTAGTTCTGGGTGAGGGGTGGTAGTCCTGATAGTGTTAGTTCTGGGTGAGGGGTGGTAGTCCTGATAGTGTCAGTTCTGGGTGAGGGGTGGTATTCCTGATAGTGTGTAGTTCTGGGTGAGGCGGGTGGTAGTCCTGATGTGTGTCAGTTCTGGGTGAGGGGTGGTAGTCCTGAAAGTGTGTTAGTTCTGGGTGATGGGGTGGTAGTCCTGAGTAGTGTCAGTTCTGGGTGATGGGGTGGTAGTCCTGAAAGTGTGTTAGTTCTGGGTGATGGGGTGGTAGTCCTGATAGTGTAGTTCTGGGTGAGGGGTGGTAGTCCTGATAGTGTGTCAGTTCTGGGTGAGGGGTGGTAGTCCTGATAGTGTGTCAGTTCTGGGTGAGGGGGTGGTAGTCCTGAAAGTGTGTTAGTTCTGGGTGATGGGGTGGTAGTCCTGAGAGTGTCAGTTCTGGGTGAGGGGTGGTAGTCCTGATAGTGTGTTAGTTCTGGGTGAGGGGGTGGTAGTCCTGATAGTGTGTCAGTTCTGGGTGAGGGGTGTTCAAGTCTTAGTAGTGTGTCAGTATTGGGTGGGACATACTTAGTCTACCTTATCCTTTAGAAACCTAAATTTGTCTGACTTAACCCATTGCCGAGTCCTATCTTGGTTAGATAGTTTTAGCACATTATTTATATCCTTTTTTTTTATTCCTGTTTTCCATTGAAATACTTATATAACTCGAATTCTACCTTGTACTTGAGCCTTTAAACTGGAAGGAAATGCCCTAGTTTCGTGTTAATAACAAAAATTTAGTTTGAAAATTATGTAATGCTAAATATCAATTTAATATATTGATTTGACATTTTTTTTTTATCAATGTATGGTTATTAATATGAGTGCCACTTGTGTGACTGGAGCAAACTCTGACAAACTGTCCTGGGTCACAGGCCATAAGTATGGAGCCTTACTGGGCCAGACTAGTTTGGCTTTAGAGTAGGAGTGAGTACACAACGGGCAGTGTGAGGGAGTGACCGCAAGCCAGTCCGTGGAGGGGGAGCACTTGTGTCTATCAAGTTGGTCGGCCTAGGAGTGAGGGCCGGTGGGCTCAGCCTCCCACTGACGTGGGTGAGCCTACAGAGGGCAGCACCTAAAATGCCGCGAAATATGAACTAGTCAGAGCAGACGGCTAGGCTGTGTGTTCTGACAGTACAGGCTGTCATATATATGTCGTGTGTTAATTAATTCCTCTCAGTCAGTGTTCTCACATGTTGTACCGCGGTGTGTTTTTAAAGTTTCCGTGTGTCCAGTGAGGTCTGAGCCAGACCTGACTAGCACCACTGTGCTAAGTCACCCGTGTGACCAGTGTGTTTGACAGCTGATTACTCAGCCCTGAGCGTATGAGCCCTCTTGTACAGAAAGCCTTTATGCTCGTCGCTCGTGTTGTTCTGCAGAATCGTACCTGCTACGATTCCCATCGAGATTTGTTTCACTTCACCTCCAGACCGTCAGAGTGCAGTTATATGTAGAGAAACAAGTCTGGGGACGCTTAGACTAACCTCTGCTATAACTCCAACTGTCGAGAGATGATACTCGTCAAGCCGCAGGCAGGCCTGTCGGCAGGCGCTGTGTCAGCCTCGTGTCAAAAGCTTCAGTGAGCAGCCTGCACAAAGATGATGTCACTTTGACTGCTAGCTCTCTCACTGCAGTCTGGTGTATGATGTTACGACTCCCAGATGTTTTGCCCAGTCGTCTCTGCCCAGACATGCCTCCGCCTCACTCACACAGCGGCCTAGCAGCAAGACACAAGGCCTCCCAGCTCTCTCTCGTGGGATGGCCCTGCCCGGGCCATGGGCACAACACAAGCCTGTGTTCCCACTACGACTTAATAATAAACAAAGATGTGTGACTGGAGCAAACTCTGACAAACTGTCAACGAGGAAACAAGAACTATACATGTGCATAGTTGTTTTGATCGAAGTACTTTGTGATTCATAATAATTGTTTTGGTTATTTAAGTATTGGAATGCTAATGGAGTGACAATGCAGACATAATAAGGATATATAGTTAAATGAATATTGATAAATTACAATTGATGTTTGGTGTAGGTTACCAGCTCAACAGCCTCACCATTGCAAGGTCATCTCTGGCACAGTTTGAGTTGTACTTGACTGCAAAAGGTGCATCTTGATTTTTTTTTTTTTTATAGAATGGTAAGACAGGTTGGCATGTTTTGTTGACATTTATGGTTGGATAGTTGAAACATGGGTAACTTTTTCTGTTTTATTAATCACACCATAATCTAACCATGAATTATTAGTATGGAAGTCAGTCACCATAACAAAAATTTTGGAATAATTGTGTAAAAAATTATTGCAGGTTTATAAATTATTTCTACATTTCTAAAAGTTGATACTTTTAGACTTGAATGTCCTAAAGTACCTAAGACTATTCTTCAACAAGGTACGGTAGTATTAATGAAACTGCAAGGTGAATGACAAAGCCATGTGTGCTGCTAAATGGCTGTGAATGTGCATCCTGTGTATGATGAGGTGAACACTAATATTGTAGCAGTGATTCCCAACCTGTGGGTATTACCTCACTTACTTTTCATGGGTAATGAGCACTGGCTTATTTCCTGTTACATTCAAGAAGCTGAATAGCATTTTCAACCTTAATAAACCCCCAGTACTTAGCATAGACTAGCATTTGCAAAATTCCCTAATAAAACCCACGACTGTGAAATTTATCAAGAATTATCAGTTTTAGAATGCAAAATAAAATAAAATCCTTGTCCACTTAAGAACAGTTTTTTTTTTTTTTTAACCCATCCTTTGTAGTTGGTAGTATTGGCCAATTCACTTAATGACTAATGGGGCACTGGGATGAAAAATAGTTTGGGAATCACTGCACTTGAGAATGCATGAAACCAAGCAAGATAGTAGATACTCTACTGCAAGAGAACCTTTAAAGACAAGCACACTTACCAATTCCTAAGTATTATTAGATTGATTTAACCTATGATTTTTGTCTTGTTTAAAATTTGTTTACTTTTGATTTTAAAATATTTTTGTAAAAAGTTTCTGTTGGGTTTACCAGCGGAACAAGGAACAAAATATTGGGTCACATTTATATACTTTAAACCATACTTTCTCTGACAATTTTCAGTGTTCACAAAGTTTGTCACTTAAGTAAAGGTTTCTTCTTGAGTTAATATTCGTGTATTAAGGTTATTTGCTTAGGGAAATGTTAAAATTAGCAGAAGATAAAAGCCTGAAAGAATAATGCATGCCTGTACTGCAGAACTTGTATGCTGCAGAGCATACTTCAAAATAGCTTTTGTAAGATATGAGGATGATAAAATGCTAAACAAGTATAAAAAAGTTATTCACAGTATAGATAAAACAGAATTACCATGTAGAATATACAGTACAAGTGTGGTTAATAAAAAAAATGAGAGAACTGAATGTGTATGTACTTAAAACCTCAGACTGATCAGATAATTTTTTGGCTGTGTCAACAGACAATAAAACACCAAAGAACAAAAATAGTGGTTAAATACTAGACTGATTTAGGAGGTAGTGCTATAATATGTATCATATGCTCTGTAAAAAAATAATAGATAATAATTGCTGAAGATTAAGGAGATAGAAGATTGGGATGATAACCTATGGTCTAGTCCTGCTTGTAAATAACAGTGCAACTTGTCAGGGTGCCATAAAGAGTCAAGAAACTAATAATGAGAGCCCATTGCTATAAGGAGATTGTAGCATTGTATTATTGTGTTTTTGTATTATAAAAGAAGCGTAAAATTCACATGGGTCTTACAGCTGTATAAGAAAAGGTTCATTAAATATGTATGTAGAAAGGTAAATGAAGTTAATTGATTGAAGAAGCAAGGAAGATTTTTTAGTAAAGGGAGAGAGGATGCTTTAGATTGTTCCTCAGCCTACTGGACAGACAACAGAAATTTGTTTTACAATTATAAATTGATTACTGAAACTCAGAAAAGGTAAATGAAATAGATACTACTGTACTTCATTGTAATAGCAAAAAATAGTTAAGGAAAGACTTACCTTAGATATTAAACTTGGCAATATGAGTACAACTGCTCTTTTAATTAAGAATTGATAGATAAAATACTTTTCTGATTCAACACTGGTATATTATTATCTCCAGTATATATTTTATTGGATCGTATATGTGCTTCTCAGGAAAGACAGGAAATAACTAATGGTGATTTATTATAAAATAAATTTCTAATTGACCAATTACTATATTTGATGCACCATTAAAGGACGTGCCTTTAATGTATCGGCTCTGAGAAAGTGTGGTTTCTAGTAGAGAGTCCAAAGGTTTGAAGTAACATAGCTAGACTGTATGTGGTTTGTTGCTAATTTCTCTTTCAGACGGGCAGAACAGATTCTTACCGGCACGCCACCGATCGAACCATCCCTGATGATAACCGAACCGTGAAAGGGGACCCCAAGGTAGCATTTCTTGACAGGACAGAGAGAGAAATTACTACCATATGACATCCTTCTATCACTTTAAGAATTTCTGTCAACACTACTTGTTTACATGGCTGCAATGCAGCCTCAGTTAGCCTTGTCTCTGCTTGCTTAATAACTATGTACTGTACTGTACTAAAATGCATGTGATTTTTCATTAGTATGCATGTCTGCAATACTCTAAATCCTAAACATGCACCCTCAATGTCTATTCTTGTAAACTACCTTGGATAATTTCGAGTGATCCCTGAATATAATGTCTGCTTATTTTTGCTCTAATTGATTTTCCTTCATAATATGCTCTCTAGAATGCAAATTTTTTTATTTGTAAGTTAATTGCCACTAGGTAAGAAAAGTAACATAGGAAAAAATCCATGAGCTCTGTACAGTGGTCCTTCCAAATCACTTGGTGTAATTGAAATTCCCAAGGCTTGGTTCTCTGTATGTAGTAATCACCTCCATTGGCAAATGGTGCATATATATTTGGCTATTCCATATCATGCTCTTCATCTCTTTTTATCCTCTAGTGTATTCCACCAGTTTCATAAACTTGATTTTTAAAGTTAAAAATTTTCCAGTTAGATTTTTTTCAGATTTTTTGTATAAAAAAAAATATTAGACAATTGTCTATACCTTTACTTTGTATTTTTTAAGTTATTTAAAATAATAAATTTATTTAGTTTAAAATTTATGATGTGTAGTTAAATTTTCAGCCTTTAATGGTTAATTGTTACATAATTCCCCACAAAATTTGATAAAATTGTTTTCCTGCACCTTATTTGCTTAATGCTTGTCAACCTAAATTGTTACACATCTTTTTATTTATAAACCCCACCATTTAGTTAAATTATAAACACAAAGTGAACTTAATCACATAAATTTGTGATACTGAAATTTAGGTTAGCTGTGACGTGAATTTTAAACCAGATGAAATGGTATAATAGAATATTTTGCTAATAAAGCAGATCAGTGCAATGATTAAATTGATGTAGGTACTGATGCAACTTGTTGAAAGCTAATTTGTTCAGCTTAAAGAGGTATGATAGACAGTGTACATTGGCATTTTCTGAACCCTTAGTAAATTTTATGTCGAGTATGAAGTTAAATCTTGTTCTTTAGTAGTGATACAAATTCTGTCTATACAGAGTGTGGTAGCTAGGTGCAAAATTATCCTTTAGTGTAGCCAAATGTTAATGTTGCCAAATCCAGCATGTTAATTGTATGCATAATGGTACCAGCACTTACAGCTCATGATGTACACGTATTACTTTTTAAATAGCTTAATTGACATTTTTGTGCACAGCAGCAACCATTTAAATAATTTTATTTTCCTTAGCACTTTTTAAGCAATTTTTAATAATAATGGCTTTCATGAAATTCATTTTGTCACCCTCCCTTAATACCCTAATTTGTAAAGAAACAGTACTGTGCAGTTCTGTACTCTGCAACAGAGAAAAATGAGTGTGTGGTATAACAAAACCAAAAAGAAAAGTGAAATCTTTTTCAAACATTCCTGGCTTACTCTAAGCAGACACCATTGAATGGTGGAAGGCTAAATTTAGTAATTTGCATTAATGTGGTAATGTTATGCTTCATAATATAGTATTAATAAAATTTTGCAGTTTCAAATTTGCAGAGCTGGATTACCCTTGTAGGCTTATCAGTAATGAAATCCAGTACTGTATACAGTATGTACAGTAATACAAATTTTTATTTCCTAGCTAAAAGCTGTCCAATATAGTGCAGATACTTTGCACTCTAGGCATATATTAAGTTTGCCTATGATTAGTTTTGACATTGATAATTGGATTTTTTTAATACAGTACCTCTTATAGTTAAAGGGCAGGTGATTGCTTAATTAACCTATAATAATAAATAAATTCACAGGTTAAGGTAAATAATGTATTACTGTACAAATTGGCACTTTAGGTCAAGTACAGTACTAGGGCAGATATTTGTTAACACTCGCCTATACAATAGGATCCTCAGTAGTGGATCATCTGAAAAAAAATTCAAGAAGTTTTAATAGGAAGTGACTTTTTTCTAATGGCAAGAATAACTTGATTTTAGTGTACTGGTAGATCACAATACTTATTGTATACACTGTTGAATCTATTCCATGTTTGGAAACACTTCCTTTTAGGTATAGGATATCCCTTTATGTGCAATTCTTTCTGTGTATATTAGGAATTATGGTAAGCATTCATAAAATTTTCAGTATTAATAAAATTGAGAGTTAGGTAAAGTATAGATTGCTAACATAAATATTAAGTTGTTTTCTAAGAAAAGGTTGCTAGTCTGAACAAATTTATGGTAAATATATTACTGAATTTCTTATGTACATACATTTAGTGTTGCTGATGTGTTAGGATAAAAGAAAGTGCACTTCGTCGTAGCAAACTGCCCACTCCAACTGTTGGAGTTTAAGGTTGTATAAAAATGTTGCAGCTGAGATTCAGATATTGGTAATTATTTGTAGTTGTTGGTGGTTATTGCTTTTGTAAGTTCCCTGTAACTTTTCATTAATTTCTGTAAAGTAGTATGGTACCACATCTATGTGAACTAATCAAAGCTGGTTATAATGTCTTAATTTTCATATTTTTACTGTTCTTATTTTCCTGTTCCATTTTTTTGCTTCAGTTTGTTTCCTTGTAATCTGTCAACTTGTTTTATTTGTGGCACACACAATTTAGTATGTGAGCTGTGTATGCTATCGAGTGATGAGCCTTTGAGAATGTGTAAACGTGTTAAATTTACTCGTGCACTTTTCATAATTAATACCAAGTGAAAAACCTGTTCTTTTCTTTACCACATAGTAAACATTAAGTAAAACTGCATTGTTGTACATGTGGAACTGTCTCCTGACTCTGAAACAATACTGTACTGGACTAGAGACAGCAATTAAGAATCAAAGTACTGTACAGTGTAATTATATTTGATTTGTCACGGTACATTGGTAATTTGATTTCATCAATACTGTACAGGGAAAAAGTGGTATACTAAATTTAAACTGTTGAAATTGGATGGATAATAAAAAATATGGTATTCACTGGGTATTGTTTGAGCTTATTTCTGTATCAGGTGGTGGGTTTCTGCATGTTTAAAATATCTGTTAGGACTGAATGACTGTGAATGTGTAAAGTTGACTGTCTGTGTATAATGGTTTTTTTTTTGGCCATTACAGTACTGTACTACAACTATTTATGACAAGACCTCTAATGACTTTTTAATGAGATTCTTCATCATAATTATGTCTGTTAATTTTTACAGTTTTTTGGACTATAGTTGTCCCATGTCTTTAATTATTTTAGCTATTGAAGGTTCTCAGTGTACCTGCTCTTGTTTTAAAAAATCAATTGTCCATTTGTTGTGTAGAAGTTTCCATATGTACTATACCTCTTGCCAGTACTATAAGAAACTTTCTGCAGAGCACAGCTAGGGAGTAATGAAGTAGTATTTCCTGTAACAATAGGTCAGCCTATTGTCGAAGACTTAATTAGTCCAATGCAAAGATTACACCATTTGTGTGTAGTACAGGTTGCCCATCACTAATCC